ATGTTTTAACTGTTTGGGGAACCACTATGCTGTTTTCTAAGGGGGCTTGCAATTGTACAATCCAGCAAGCAATAGATAAGGGTTCTTCCAATTTTCCATATCCTCACCAATACTTGTTGTTTTTATTTTTCTGATAATAGCTATTCTAGTGGATATGAAACAGCATCTTGTGGTTTTGATTTGCATTTCTTAATGGTTAAGTGCTGGACCGCTAACTGAAAGGTTGGCAGTTCAAACCTGCTTAGAAATTCCTTGGAAGTAAGGCCTGGCAATCTGCTTCCAAAAAATCACATCCTTGTAAACCCTCTGGGGCAGTTCTGTTGTACACATATGGGATTGCCATGAGTTGGAATGAATCGACTCAGTGGCAAATAGCAACAGCAACTAACAAAATGACTATACCCACTCCTTTCTTATTGATTTGGTTAGGTCACAAAGACTAGGTTGTTATGTGAAAATCAATGTTGTACAAAAATGGAGGGTGACTAAATCAGATCACAAAGTGGAGAATGACTACATCATTACATAACTGGGAAATTACATCATTACATAACTGCTTGGAGTGCAAGGAATTACTTAATACAACACTTGTAGCCATAGTCTTTGTAACTCTCACCAAATGACTTTACAGATGTGAGGTGCTTGTGGCCTACCAAGGGGATCAGATAGCTTGTTGATAATGTAAATAATGGGTGTGGCACCTTTGTGGAGGTGGGACCATGCATATAAACCTCATACGGGGATTGGTTAGTTTTGTCATCCCACTAGGCTTGAAATGAGCCATCCCAGAGGTGGAAAGAAGATGATAGGGAGCAGAGTGCATCCTTTGGACCCTGGGTCCCTGTGCTGGGAACCTCCTCAACCCGGAAGACAGATCTGTAACACCAGACAGATAATGAGAAGTGGCAGCAGAGAAACAGGAAGCAGAACTAGGAGACCAGCAGGAGATAGCACAGTGGGCTTCTGGACACCTGGAGTGAAAAAGCTGAGTGCCTTCGGGCAGGAGGCTTGCAGGCAGAGTGGGGTGCCTCTGGGCACTTGGTGGAGCTAAGTATACCGACCTACAGAGCTAAAGAAGCTTCAGGCCAAGGCTTACTGGTAGAATGGGGTGCCTGAAGACCCTTATTAGCAGAGCTAAAAGATCTTTGTAACCCTTACCTTAGCAAGGCAGAGACTGTGGGGCTGAGAGGCTGAGGGCCAAAGAGAGGGCATGTCTGCGGATACTGCTCAGAAGAGGGTATCTTGATCAAAGAACTACATCCTGAGTTGTTTCTTATTTTGAATTATAACCAGTTACTTCCCTAATAAACCTCATAATTGTGAGTATTGTCTGTGAGTTCTGTGTGGCCATTGCAGTGAATTATCGAACTCAGCAGAGATGTAGAGAGTGTCATGGACTATTGATCTTTATCCTCCTACCCCCTTGTAAAGTTTGAGGAGGTCAGACCCCACCCCCATGCCATTACTATGCTGCCAAACCACTGAGAATGGTAGAATGGTGGCCTAGTCAGTGAACACATAATTCTCAGAGCCAGTGTTACTCTCGACTCATACCTCCGCATTTGTTGCTGCTATGCATTTGTCATTAATGCACAAAATAGTCAGATAGTAGTAGATTTTTCACTATTGTTGTAAATGTGAAATGTTGGATAATGAGATAGTCGATAAGTGAGGAGTGGTGTACTGATGTTGAACATCTTTTCACGTGCTTATTGGCCATGGTGATCTACTTCCAAAAACCAGCCAGTGAGTGAAAACCTTTTGTATCATAAGGGTCTAATTTGTAACTCTTCCTGGGGATGACACAGGACCAGGCAGATTTTCCTTCAGTTGTACATGTGGTTGCCGTGAGGTGGTGGCTGACTTGACAGCAGCTGCTTAAGGCATTTGACTGCTAACCAGAAGGGTGGCAGTTCAAACCTACCAACTACTCTTCAGATGGAAGACTGGGCAGTCTACTTCCGTAGTGGTACTACTTCTGCAACCCAAGGAGGGATCTCTATGAGTCAGATCTGACTCGACAGCAGTGAGTTTGGTTATTTTTTTGGTATTGGCAACAACAGAATTGGCAAATTCACATAGACAGAACGTAGACAGAACGAGCCACAGGTAAAAAATGAAAGTAAGTTTGTTCAGGGCTGCAGAGGTTATCAGGAACTGGGGCAGCAGGGGGTGGGAATGAAGCATTATTTAATAGGTACAGAATTTCTGTTTGGGATGATGAAAAAGTTCTGGAAATAGTGATGATGACTCTACAACATTGTGAATGTACTTAATGCCACTGAATTATATGGTTAAAATAAATGTTTTGTATATTTTTCCACAATAAAACAAAAATGTTTTAAAAAGTCTGCCCAAATTCTTTGAACATTTCTACCATTCTTAGGATACAAACCAACTTTGCTTAACTTAGGCTACAGATCCTGCTTGTTCTGAGCCCTGTTTACTTCTCCAGCTTAATTTTCTTCCAGGCCTTCTTTCCATTCCTCTGATGCTATATTGTCTCTCTTGCAAGGGAATTTTACACTTGTTACTGTTCTCTTTGCTTCTTAACTGTGATTCGTCCTTCAGATCTCAGCACACAAATGACTTACTCAAAGAAGCTTTCTCCATCTTTCAATTTTTGAGGTCAGAACTCTATTATATGAATACTGAGCACTAGAGATTTAACAGGAAAGAAAACTGGCCTTATCCCTGACCACACTGAACTTATCAGACATTGATCACATAATGAGTCAATATATGGTACTGTAACTATGTTTACATGGTGCTATGTTTACATGGTCACCAGAGCTCCTTACCTTTCACTAGTGACAATTAAATTTTTGAGTTTTTTCATTCATGGACATTTGAGAGGTAAACTAATACAAAGAAGATTAAACTTAGATACAAATTCTGATTCTTTTCCAAGTTTATAACATCCATATATTTTGAAAAGAGCTCTGGTGGCATAGTGCCTAAGGCATTTGACTGCTAACCTGAAGGCTGGTAGTTCAAACCTACCAGCCACTCCTTGGAAGGAAGGTTGGGTAATCTACTTCTGAAGAGATACCACCTCAGAAAAACCGAAGGAGTAGCTATGAGTCAGATCC